GTTAGTATTTTAAAGTTGCTTTGTTGCTGATTTAGCACTGTCTATTGCTTGCACACTCAAGGCCTTGGCCAAGAAATGGCTTCCATTGTGGGGATCATTTCAAATAGTGATGATTGTCTGCTATTTATAGCCCCTCATCCCTTAGTAATTGTACTGAAAGGATCAGAACTATACATCTGGTGTGGTCTTCATTAATTTTAATTGTTTATTTTTTCAAAGATTATAGTCTGATTTTACTTAATTATATTTTAACACAAGTTACTCTAATTGATATTCATCCAGATTTAATGTTCCTATTTCTTGTAAGTACTTGATGCAGCTAAATCATCTGTGCAATTAGATCCTCGTGGCATACGAGTATTTTTTTTTCTCTTAAATGTGCGTTTTTCTTATTTTAATAAATTAACCTTTTATTCTTGTTTTTGTTTCCATATTAGGTCTAATTTAAGTATCATAATAATATTAAAAATACTAGACTAGTATCTGTCGTGAACCTATAGTTTTTCCGCCCTTGCGCTCTAACATAAAGCCAGGCTGTTGTCAAAAGTTTAACTAGTATGTTATTGACCCCAACATCCATCACAGCCAGGTTGATCTGGCACTTTGAAAGATGGGAAGGGTTGATGCTAGTTTCCTCTTAAATTCATGAGCTTAATCTGGCAATCTTAACCATATTTGCTGGTACCAGGTAATCTTGGATCACGTGTTTACTTCTGCATTGCCTATGATGAACCGCACTGCTTTTCGTTTAAACAATTGTACTTTCCCTCATCTCTCCCTTGTGTATTTCATGCTTCAGTGTTTTTTTTTTTTTTTCTCTCCCCATCTGTTTAACCCTTTCAGGGTTTCTTACATACTAGTACGGCTTGCGCACGGTTATTGACGTACTGGTACTCGCAAATTCTAGCGCCTTCAAATCTAGTGAGAGAAAGCTGGTAGGCCTACATATGAAAGAATGGGTCTGTGGTCAGTGTGCACAATATAAAAACAAAAAATCCTGCAACACACTGTGCGTAATGATAAAAAAAAAACTTTCGCCGTTTTTTGTTTAAAACGGCGACATTGCACTGTATTTTTGTATGGTATTTTTGGTTTAACCCTTTGAGGGTTTCGGACGTACTAGTACGGCTTACGACCCAGGGTTTTTGGCGTACTAGTACGCCTAAATTCTAGCGCCCTCAAATCTAGTGGGAGAAAGCTGGTAGGCCTTCATATGAAAGAATGGGTCTGGTCAGTGTGCACAGTCTAAAAAAAAATCCTGCAGTACACAGTGCATAATGAGAAAAAAAAAACTTTGACAATTTTTTTTTGGAATAAAACAGCGACTTTGCACTGTATTTTCATATGGTATTTATTGTTGTATTCTAGTTTTCTTGGTCTCATTTTATAGAATGGAAGACATTACAGAAATTGAGATGATTTTGACTGGTTTTACAATGAAAGATACCTTGAAATTGAGCTCAAAGTAGCAGAAATGTTCGATTTTTACCAAATTTCAAAAGTAAACAAATCGTGCCAAGCGTGCAATACACGTCAACTGGTGAGTCTAATATTCTCTCACAAGTGCACCAATAATATTTATACCATTTTTTACACTAATATAGTAGTCTGCATAACAGTAAATCTTATATTTTTTGTGAGAATAAAAAATCAAAGTGGAAAGCAAAAGAATATAAGAGGGGCCTTGAGACGTGACTAATGACCAGAGGAAATGTCATTTTAGTGCCAGGAATGTCTTTCTTGTTTATTCTGGACCCTATTTGGAAATTGGCATCTTTGAAATTTGTGTGAAATTGGCAAAATTGCTAAATTCTGACCACTGTACTGGATAGTTGAATTTCATAAATGGGTGGTTTCTTGCACCCATTCGATAGAAAAAATGGAGTTCTAGCGAAATATTCATGTTTTTTGCCGACTAGTAGTGGAATTGGCCGAAAATGGGGCTCTGGGCAAAATTGCCGATGCGTAAACATCGCCGAGACCGCTAACTTTGCGAGAGCATAATTCCGTAAGTTTTCCATCAAATTTCAAACTTTTGTGTCCTTATGATCGGGAAAAGATTATCTATCTTTTCATAAGAGAAAATAATTTTTTTTTTTTTTTTTTTTTTTTTTTTTTTTAATTTGGCCGACCCTGAGAACGAGTTTTGGAGAGGGCCTGTCGACCCTCAAAGGGGTTAAGAATAAAAATTCAAAGTGGAAAATAAATGTAAGAGGGGCCTGGAGATGTGACTAATGAACAGAGGAAATATTATTTTAGTGCCAAGAATGTCTGTCTTGTTTATTCTGGGCTCTATTTGGAAATTGGCATCTCAAAATTTGTGAAATTGGCAAAATTGCTAATTTCTGAGCACTTTATTAGATAGTTGAAATCGGTAAATGGGTGGTTTCTTGTGCTCGGTAGATAGAAAAAAAAATGGAGTTCTAGCGAAATAGTTACGATTTTTGTCGACTGGTACACTGGAATTGGCAGAAAATAGGGCTCAGTGGGCAAAATTGCCAATGCATAAACCTCATCGAGACCGCTGATTTCATAAGAGCATAATTCCGTAAGTTTTCCATCAATTTTCATACTTTTGGCGTCATTGTGATCAAGAAAATATCTTTTCATAAAAAATCTCGCCCCCACCGGGGGGGAATTTTCGACCCTGAGAACAAGTTTAGGAGAGGGCCTCTCGACCCTGAAAGGTTTAAAAAAAAAAAACTAATTTCTTACTTTGTCTTTGCTATGTTCTTTCAAAACCCTTTTCTATTGGTCTAGCACTTGTTAAACACTTATTAATATTTGCTAATTTTTTAATAACCACATCTCATTAGTACTAGTACCCGTAGCTGTATTGGCTAATTTTGATGTCTGTATCATCCTGAAATTGAGTATCGGTGAAATACTTGACCCTTTCAGGATCCAGAGGTCAAATTCCAAAGTATACACCAGAGTCTATAAGAATTTTCAAGAAACAAAATTATTTCTCCTTATGAAATGGTAGAGAATCTTTTTCTGAGGTAATAAAACAAAAATACGAAATTTGATGGAAAATTGACGAAATTATGCTCACGAATTTTGATGTGTCAGCGATATTTACGAATCGGCGATTTTGCCGACTTTGACTCCCATTTTAGGCCAATTACATTATTCCAGTCGACCAAATTCTCAACTATAATTAATAAATACTTCTATTCTATCGATTGAGCACAAGAAATCGCCAAGTCAACTGTTTCAACTACAAAATAGTGATCAGAAATTGGTAATTTGGCAATTTGGCCAATTTAACATGGGTCGAAAACTTAGTTCTCACAATTTCACAATAGGGGCCAGAATAAACCACTGTTGTTTATCCTGCATTTTAGAAACTAAACAGTTTCCTCTGTTTCATATTAGTTACGTTTTGAGCTTTCAAATGAATTCCACTTTGATTTTTTATCTCACATAATGAATGTTATATCAAAACCATAAATAGTAAATAGAAAAAACACGCTGGCATGTATTAGACATTTGAGATCATTTGTTAGCTCGTTTCAACCATTTCCAGTCTTAAACCAATCAATTCTCTCATTTCTGTAACACTCTTCCTATTCTTTCAAATCAAACCAAATCGCAAATTACAACTTTCAAAAAAATAAAAAAAAAAACACTGCAAAGTCCTGTTTTATTGAAATCACGTCTGGTCGCTCTCTTTTTTTTCTCTTCTTTCTCTTTTTCTTTTCTCTTTTCTCCTCTTTCTTTTTCTTTTCTCTTTTCTCTCTTTCTTTTCTCTTTTCTTTCTCTTCTTTTCTCTTTTCTCTCTTTTCTTTTCTCTTTTCTCTTTTCTTTTCTCTTTTCTCTCTTTTCTCTTTTCTCTTCTCATTATACACTGCTGCAGAATTTTTTTGTGGTGTGCACATACTACATTGATGTATTCTCTCATATCTAGGCCCAAATTTAACACTTGCAGCTTATCAGTGAGCCGAGCTCATGGCGTAGATCTACGGCTTTATGTTCAGGGTCCAAACCATAGATCTATGCCATGAGCTCAGCTCACTCTGATAAACTGTGAGTGGTACATTTGGGCCTAGATATGAGCAAATACATCTGTGGTATGTGTGCACCACATAAAACAAATCCTGCAGGACACTGTGTATAATGAGAGAAAAAAACTGAGACCATGATTTTCGATTAAAACAGCGAATTTGCAGTGTTTTTTCGTATGTTTTTTATAGTTGTATTTGCGATTTCTTGGTCTCATTTGATAGAATGGAAGACATATTACAGAAATAGAGATGATTTTGATAGGTTTTAGCACTGAAAATGGCTTGAAACTGAGCTCAAAGTAGCAGAAATGTTAAATTTTTGCTGATGTTAGAGTAAACAAACGACCTCATATGTCTAATACATGCCAGCTTGTGGGTCTAATATACATTCACAAATGTGGTGATATTTATACCATTATTACAATATTGTATAATAGTAAATATTCTATTTTTTGGTGTGAATAAAAAATCAAAATGGAATTTATTTGTAAAGCCTCAAAATGTAACTAATGAACAGAGGAAATGTTAGTTTAGTGCCACGAATACTTACATTGTTTATTCTGGACCCTATTTTGAAATCGGAATATTTTGAACTTTGTGTTAAATTGGCCAAATTAGCAATTTCCGATCACTATATTTTGTAGTTGTAACAGTTGACTTGGCGATTTCTTGTGCTCAATTGATAGAATAGAAGTAATACTAGTGAAATAGATAAAAATTTGGTCAACTGGAATAATGTAATTGGCCTAAAATTGGACTCGGTCAGCAAAATCGCCAATTTGTAAATATCGCTGACACATCAAAATTCGTGAGAGCATAATTTCGTTAATTTTCCATCAAATATCGTACTTTTTGTTTTGTTACATAAACCGAAAGATTCTCTACCATTTCATAAGATTTTTTTTTTTTTTTAATTCTTGGACACTGGGGCACCACTTCAGATTTTGGCCTTGGACCCTGAAGGGGTTAATCATGAAGTGTGTGCACTCATAG